TCTCCTTTAATTCCTTCTCTCATCATTAATATTCTCTTTCACTTCTATCCATTTACTTAGTATCATTATTTCTTGTATAACTATGAGGAGCTTTATCGATTGAAATCTTTTCCTCCGCTGCTATGAGTATAAGTAGAATGGGAATTGAGAAGTGAGGAACAGGAAGAGATAGATATATACAACAAGGATAGCATGATTTCTTCCTTTTGGTTTGAGTTATAGATCGTTGTGTTGAGAATCCTCCAACCGGAAGTCTAAAATTAATCCTTCAACCGGATAAATCCTTACTTTCATGACGTCCATGTCCTTTGCATGTTCTTGCCTTATTCAGTCAATGCACTGCATATTTTACTTATATTTACTATACATCCTGTTGAAGTGAGAGCTGAAGAAATTAAGTAACAGAAACTCAGAAAATCGAGACGAACCTATCCAGACCACTTGTCCTAATTGTAATGTAAGTTCAGATATTGTTATTTACAGATAATCCGTTAATTTAAATCTGGATTTCCGAATCAGTAAAATTTAATAAATTAGGAAATTAGTTATATTTTAACAAATTTTAAAAGAGCGAAAGAGGTTGTACTTTTATAGCATTTATGATTCCAAGATTTGTAATATTATTCAAAGATTTAGTTTATTATAACAGAGTGAAATTTGAATTATTCCGATGTCTGAAAAATTCATAACTCATTCGGTTAATTGTAGGCTCAGATCATAACGGATGTACGAAAACAATGGCAGTGTAAACTGTTCAACTGTATCCTTCGACGTTCAGTTCATTTTTGTCCTGCATGCGACAATGTCATCAGTAAACGGTATCTGACAATCAGAAAGGAGAATTCTAAATCATCGTCCACTTGAGAAATTCAGTTTTCTGTTGCTGAATGGAAGAGATAACCGAAGTTTTCGATATAAAATGTTACTAAAAAATTGAGGCAATTATGCATTGTCAACATTTAGATCAGTAATTTCCAATAGTTATAATGACACTGACATATTGTGTGAAATTTTATGTTACTATTTATTCTGTGTAACTTATTTGCCTGTGAAAAATAATTTCAGACATAATAAAAAATCTAAATTATTCAATTTTGATGTGAAAACAACTTCGATTGTAGCGACAGACTGCAGAACACCTTCACTTTTACTCCTTAGTTATGGAAGATTGGAATACAATTGGTAGGCGCGACTACTTCTTAACAAAGTCACATAAATAAACGTCTACTTGCTTTCCCTAGCAGTTCCCTAAGGTATTATCTTCCTAAATATTACAAATTATAACTAGTCTATAAAATATTGATAGTGCAACACATTACTTATATGGATAAGTTATCACTCGATCCTTTTTCAATCAGTACAACACTTTCTGATAAGGTCTGAAGTGTGGGATTGTTTTAGAATTAAACAGGAACAAAATCCAGACCGAGATTTCTGGGAGATTATTTTCTTTCATGATAGTTGTTTTGGTGGTAATAGAAATATACTTTCGACAAGAGATAAGATCGAATCTTATCGGGTTTGCCACTAGGCTATATATTATTTCATTTCTAGGTGTAAGGTTAATTAAAATTCTCATTGACCTTCATGCAAATGTACTGACCCTTCACCTCACCAACAACCATAAGATCAATCAATTGGTATTTTGTCTAACCCAATGTTTTCTCTCCCTGCCATGTATAAAATCCTTTCTCCATCGGTAAATCTTACAACCTTTTACCACTTTTTTGATTAAATCGATGACATTTTTGAGCAATCAAAACTGCATTATTTACTGTGTGACTTTGTCTGTCTGTTTGTCCCTTTCAAATGTAGTGAATGTGTCGTTTGAGTGCGAGAAGTCCTCGGAGATATTCTCGGAAGCATTCTGGGACGACATACGACATTAACTTGACAAAGGAGGGCTGATATATCATCATAAGTACTTCTCGCTAAATGATACAAAAGATTGATTTTGTTCAGTTCTTAAAAATAACTTAGTCCTCAAAAATAACAAGCGCATTTTGTGCAACATACAGTAAGATAATATGATTAAGCAAAACGCAAGTCGTTTCCTGAGGCGGAGGTACAAAGGTTTGTTTTTCCCATGTTTCATGAGGTTAGGATAGAATTATCGTCACATTACGTCAACTAAATTTAATAACTGTCAAGCATTTTTGAAAAGGTAAACGTGGAGACATTTAAACTTGAATATTCCCGAAATAATTATCATCCCTCAGAACATTACACTAACACAATCCCACCATATTCATTAGCATTTCCTAGAAATAATTTTTGTTTCGTTATCCAATTCACAGCAAACATTTTTGGCAAAATAACTGCTGAATGTTCGAAATGGAAATAAAATGATATTGGCTGCTCCATCTCCTATCACTTTTCCAACACACACACACACACACATACATACATACACACACACATATACATAGATACATACACACATACACGTACACACATACACACATACATACATACACACGTACATGGAGAGATTTTTCTAATATTTCGATGCGATCCAATGATTTTGTCACAGATCGATGATTCATGTCAGTCAAATTCATTTTGAACGCTGCTGCTCTTTTTGATTTTAACCTTCTTTTTATTTCCATTTAAAATGGTACTTATGTTTAGTCGAAAATCACAGTAATATTACTTGAAAACTTAAAAGTACCCACTTTTTATTCAGAGAAATTTGTCGTATACTATACTGTTTGGAGAAAATTTTCAATAAACATATTCCGATTCCGATCCATGTGTTGCTATGTGAAATGCAGTAAATGAAGAAAATTCCACTGATACCACTCTAATGGCAATTCTGCTCATTTTTGAAAATTCCAAACATTTCACAGTTTCCCATTACATTTAAACAATGATTCTCTTGCTGATATGTAATGTGGAAAAGATTGTGCTAATTATAGAAAGCCAGAATTTCTTCTATAATACGTGTGTGATGTGAAGAATTTTAATTTTTGTTCATATACACCCGAATGTTTGATCATAGAATATTCTAATATTCTCTCAGGTTCAGGTATGCGTTGTTCTCTCAGGTTCTCCCAAATATTTTCTCAGGTTCAGGTATGCGTTGTTCTCTCAGGTTCTCCCAAATATTCTCTCAGGTTCAGGTATGCGTTGTTCTCTCAGGTTCTCCCAAATATTCTCTCAGGTTCAGGTATGCGTTG